AATTCCAACCAGCACTTGTCCTGAAGCTCGTCAAACAGTCGACCGACAGTGGAAATGAGGGACAGGTCGCCGGGTGCTAAAGTGTCATTTTCGACCTTCACTTTCTGGAGGACCGAAATCCTCGTGAGGTGCAGGAAGTTGGACTTCGACTCGCGTGGGAATGACACCCATCCCGCGCCCGGGATTGCCACGGCCATGACCCAGTCGCCATTTCGTATCGCTGACTGGATGACTCCCGGATGCCAAACCATGTCATGGCCCCAGTCCTGCTAAGGTGAATGACGTTGCGGTTCAAGCAGGAAGTGGATGTTGTTATCCTTCCAAGACAGATGATCGGGCGGGACAACGGACCCGGGACGCAAAGCGGGGGGGGGGGCGGCCAGAACTCTAAGTCTCTCCAGCAACTTCATCGGTGTGGTGCCCGGCGTCGGTTTGGCCAATGGTGATACGAGGGTTGCAGCGCTTGGTGATGGACCGGCCAACGAGGACCCTCGGTCGTGGTCCGCCGGAGGCGGGTCGTACTGCAGGTCGATGCTCTCCGTGTCGCTCTCCTCCTCCTTCGCGTTGGCCACAAACTCCACACCTATGGCTTCCTCGTCGTCAGTGGAGATCAGGGAAGCGTAACTGGCTAACTTCAACTGCTCCTCGGACTCCACTAAGTACAGCGACTGCAGTCTTTCGATAAACGTTTTCGCGTTCATGAGGGAGGCGAAGTGGTAGTTGTCGAGCAGTGCCAACATGTGGTCCTTCCGACGGATGTACTCGGCATCAGTGTCCCTCCTCGGACACGTTTGAAGGAACAAGAAATCGTATATCTTGTTCCTCTTCCTCTCGCTCAACTTGAACCACATATCCGTCTTCTTGCTCCACACCTTATCTCGTGTTGGCCTCACGACCATGAACTCACAATTGTGCCCACTCGAATTGACCTCGCTTTTCACCACCTGCATCGTGAATTGCAAGAGGTCGGAGTTCCCTTCCATTGCGATAACGTGTCGGCCGGCCTTCAGAAGCTCCCAGACGCTTCGCGCATGCGGTTTCCCAAGGAACACGACACCCTCTCCCTTCTTGCCAAGAAAATCAAGAAGACCGACGAATTGGGTCGGATTGCGTTCCATATCCCCGTAGACGCTGCCCTATCGTTCAGGCGCCACCAGCGACCAGTCGCAAGGCGTGAAATAAATCTCGGGCACATCCGTCTGGGTGACCCTCTGAGGCAATCGCACCGCAACAGCAGCACCCGTGGGCAGGTTTCCCTCGTAGACCACGGACGTGTTGACGCGCAGATCGTCACCCTTGAAGAGGATGTACATGCGGTCTTCCTCCTTGTACAAATTGTTCCCAACGGGGAAGCTTTTTTTTTGCTACACTCTCCGCACCCACTTCCCTTCCAACAGCTTGACGAAAGAAAGATGGTGCATGCTGGCGAGAAACGACAGGTTGTGCTGCTGCGTCACGAAAACAACGAGACTCCAATGCGAGGGACACCACGTCTGAAGATAGGAATTCAAAGTCTACCACGCTTGGGGCTTCCACGGTTTGAGGTCAACCGGCTCGCACAGATCGAGGACGAACGTGTGGCTCTTTGTGGCAGCCACTGCCTCCTTCAGCTCCGCGCCCCTGATGTCCGCCTCTAAAGGGTCGTTGGTGAACGGCGCGATGGATGTCACGTCCCCCGTGTCTTTCCATTTAATGTGAACGACGCCTTCGGCAAGTGCGACTTCCCGACTCTTCAGTCTGCTTCCATTCAACACGGAGAGAACCTTGTTTCTCCAGTCGACGGACAACTTCTTGTGGCCCGCCAACTTCTCCGTCACCTCAATCGAGTTGTCCTGGTCGCAACCCATGTACGGCGGGCAGTCCTTGAACAGCGCCGAGTCGGAAACGTGTTTCTTGCTGTTATCCCACAACTTGTCATCCAATCCCTGACCTTCAAACTTCTTGAACACGGCAGACCTCGATTTCAGGAAAGGGTACCTTTGAATCCAGTCCGCGTCCGGCCTCTTCTCGTGCTTGAATTGGTAGTAATTCCACAACCGGACCAGCACGCGGTCGCACTTCACCAGCTGAACCATGTCTTGCACGCTGAGCTTTTCCAACTTCGCCAACGACGGGGAGCCGACCTGGACCCGAACGACCTCGCAAGCAAGCACCTTTTTCAGAACGCGACACTTCTCATTGTCCGTGAGTGATTCCATTGCTTTCCAACAATGCGCGTCCGGGTCTGGCACTTGCACGAACCAATCGCCCTCCTCTTTCTCCTTTTTGCCCTTTTTATTCGGCGGGTCCACGGGGACGTTGTACACCACCTCCGCTCTGCCCAATTTGTCGTTGTGGATGTAGGCGACCCTAGGCTTTACGCTTTTGACCTTCTTCTTTTTGACAGTCCACTTCGCCCCATCGTAGATAAGCAATCTGCTCGTCTCCCATTTTTCGAAAAATTCCACGGCCAGTTTCCAGACATTTTCCCCGGCCATCGCCAGAGGTAAGTAAGAACGCGGGACAACATTTTGCTTCTTAATGGCCTCCTCTTCCTTTTGATCCGCGAGAAGCCACAAACTGTTTTGAGGCGCCTTATGGAGCGCCGTTGTACAAAACTTACGCCAAACCCGGACCAGATTTTGTTTCCCGCTAAGGTTCCCCATCATAGCTCTCGGGCAGCCGTCATGCTTCCACCGCCATCGAATGTCTTTCATAGAAAGTTTCAACTGTCTGGGAGGTGCCTTCAGGTCCTTCTTGTTGTCCTGTGAACTAACAAGAAAATACCCTTCGAAGTCATCGTCGGAAAAATACACCATCCGTGCCGGCCACCGCTCGAAATTGTACTTCTTGGCTACCTCGCTGTCGAGCAGCGACCTGGCTGCAGCCGCGTTGTGCTGCCCGCACACCGCATAGTAGTAGTATTCTCCCGCCAGCTCATCCTTCCACTCCTCTGGCTTCAGACGTTGTGCCTTGGTCCCAGGAGTTGGTTTTTGAAGCCCCAGTGGTGCGAGCTTGAAGACCGGTAACTCGTACGTCTGTTCTTTATTTTCGAACGCAGACCGCATTGCTTCCCTTATCGTTTCCACGAGGACGGGATCTAGTGACCGCTGGTTGTAAAGATCCGCCCACTCCCTTTTGTCAACAATCTGAGCCAGGCTGATCTCAAACTCCCGCCTTGTCCTGACGCCGTCGTTGTACTCCAGGAAGTACCTCGCGTCCACGTCGATGGCAGGCCATGGTGAAGAAGGTCCCGACTCAGGCTGTTTATGTTTCGAAGCTGGACGTTTGCTACTCGGGTGGCCCTCTTCCACCCCCCTCCCCTTCCGTTTCTCTCCCACAGTCCTCGGGGTCTTGGTCTTCTGTTTCTTCGAAGAGCCCACCAACTCTTCTTGACGTTTTCCCCTCCTTCTTTGGGGAGTGCCCTGCGCTCCCTCCCCGCCCACTGCCTCGCCTTCCGCGCCATGGCCCTCGGCGGGTTCCAAGTCAGACCCACACAGGACTCCTTCTTCTCCGGGATCCGCTGCGGTCTGTTGCCGGACCCCAGGTATGGACAACACGGACCTGTCTCTTTCTCTCGACGGCGAAAACGGCGGACACGGTGTCGCCTCATCTTCGTTGTCGTCAAACTGACCTCTGACATCCTCCCGCTGCACATGTGTAGCCTCCCCGGAACCCAGATCCCCCCCCTCCTTCGCTGCCCCGCTCGACTCACAACCGCCACATGGCTGCAAAGGCATTGGCAGTTCCAGGTCGGGACCGACTTCGCAAGGGACGTCGAGGGCGATGCCCTTGTCCTCCAACAGGTCGAAGAACTCTCGACCCAAAACAAACCCGCCCTGCCGCCGGAGGTCGTTGTAGAACGGGGTGTTCGCAGCACCCGCTCCGAACCCCTCGAACAGACACATGTCGAGAACTGCCCCCTTGGCACCGGCGACAACGTTCCCCTTTGAACCGTACACATTTTTCATGTAAAACCGTCGACGACTGCCTTTCGCATTCTCCCACCGCAAGACAACCCCCAGAACCCTGCGGCGCTTGTTGGCTTCGACAAAGATCACAGGACCACACGGTTGATGGACTGGGTTCGTAGCATCAGCACAGCACCGGTCGACGAACCATTTCGACCTAGCGTGGTCGGACCACGTCCTTGAGGTCGTAGACGACCGTTTTGTAGAATCTTTCCCAGATCCCATCCTGGAGGTTGCTGCAGGCTCCCCTTCACCCCTGGACGAAGACATATTGTCTGCGGACGACAACGGAAAACAAATAAAACACTACTGAGCGTTAAATCGCAGTCAAAGCACAACGCAGGCGAAAAACAGAGGAGGCACACCTTGCCCTCAACACGTCGGTCACATGACGCTATCCGAGGACCTCGAAGTTCGGATCCCGCGAACTTCTAACGTGAAGACCAGCAATGACCTCTTACCTGCAACGAGATCATTCTTTACAAGGGCACACGCTTCATGCAGCCGGGCGACAACCACGTCGGTTTTTTCCGGAACACGAATGTCCACCCGATCGGGAATGGACGGGTGGTGACGCACAAAGCCCGCGTTGGACGGGGCAATGTCCTCCGTTTAGCAATAGGAACCCGGACAGTTCAGGACGCGAAGTTCGCCGAGATCCATACTAAAAGTGCCTGTCCGAAGCCAAACCAATGCACCCACCGAAACATGAAGTTCGTCGGGATCCGAACTTCAGGAAAATGCGACAGGCAAAGACGGCGTCAGGCAAACACAGATTGGACTGAACCACGACCCGGAAAGGCCACACTAACACAAAAGGCCGCTTGAGAAGGACAAGTTCGCCAAAATCCAAACTTCTTCTGATATGCGCAGCTTGGCATTGGATGAAGCCAAGTTCGAACAAGCAGCCGCGACAACATTGTATGAGTCCCTCGAGGAGCAGTTGTGGATCAGGGTTTGACTCATGTCGCAATCCACGGTGGATCATCAAGCCCAGCGCCTGTTCAATACATAGGCGTCACAAGAAGTTCGCCGGGGTCCGAACTTCAGGAGGCTGCGAGAGAGACAAACAGAAAGTTGGGGTCCTAGCAAGGTGTCCTAGCACGGTGCCAACGGTATTTCCAACAAGAGGGCCCACCAACCGGGATCTCCAACGGGTTTCAGGAAACGCGAAGCTCGCGCGACCTTGCGATGGGGATCTCTAAGAGTGCTTTTGGCATCTCGCTACGATAGTGACCGACTGTTTGGCACATGTTGATGGTGGACGGGCGAAAACCGGTTACGGGCAGATCCTTCCGCGGTGATGGGTCTTTCCCGCGGCCCGCCCAACGCCAATGACATCAGAGACAAATTAACGGAGAGGCCAAAACGCGAAGTTCGCCGAGATCCGAACTTCGCCGGGGCACGACATGGCAGGAGACGACGTCAGAGACGGACGTCCAACATGACTTTTGTCATGTCACTGAACCGAACGACGACCAGGGATTTGCACGACAAGCGCGCGGTGCAGCGCGTACCAGCAACCGCGGAGTCTCACACTTCTCTGCAGTCCTACAAATCTGACATGTTAGGCAGCACAACCGCATCTCATCCCTCGTCGTTCTTTTCCCTCAAACAGAAGGACTAAAGACCGATTCGGATGCGGCAACATTTGGGGATCCTCCGGGACGACGTCGTGAACCGAAGCCAAACAAAGCATTCAGTGATGATCTGTAGACGCGGGTCTGCAGTTCGTCGACCGATGCAATCTCCGAAAAAACGGACATGTATTTCATCCTAACAAACACCCCCGGTCGTGCCAAGGAGTTTCCTATGCAGTCCCGTATGTCAGCCGCTTTCTCCTCAACCTCACGAAACAACGAATAGTTTCGAACCTGACCTGCTATCACCAAATCTGGCCACCCATCCACACGTTCAGGCCCACGCATCGGCACGAATTTGGACCCTTCAATCACAACTTCGTTGCGCGACACGAGCACAACTGCGTCCACGAGTTTCCTGCTCTTGTTCGAAGCAGCGACACATAAAACTCTGGCGAAATCAGATCCGCACACAGTCAACCGCACACAGCAGTACGACACAGCTCGTGGAGAAATCCCGGGGCAACGGAGCGGGTACTGGTCCAGGAACGAGCAGCGACGAGCGCAGTCCACCAACTCTTGTTTCCGCGAGCCACCCCAAGTTCGTGGCGACGACCTGACGTTGTGGCACTCGAGGCGACTGAAATAGCGGCTAATGCATCTTAGTGCTTTCCGCATATGGTTCAGGAACTTATGTCTGAGGACGGCGTCAGGCAGTGGGATGAGGTCCCCGAACTCCAACATATTCGCGAACTTGTACTGGCTTGCCCAAGGGCAGTGACTCTTCATACTAGCCCAATTGCCCTCGCCCCAGTCGTCAAGATGCACATCCCTGCATGGAACGACGGTCATCCATGGGTCCTCGTCGAAGTCCTCTGCGGTCGCTTCGTGGATCGTCGTCACACCGTTGAAATGCCGCACGGATTTCGCACAAGGACGAAAGGGTTCTGCTAAGCGAATGTGCGTCTCGGCACTCATGGCCTGTGGTCTCGAGAAGATCGACTCAAAGATGCGTGGTGTCGAGAAGGTCCCCTCCATCACGCAACCTGCACACCACGCGCACATGCCCGACGAGACACACGAGCACGGAGACACTCGTAAACGCGTCATGTCTCGCGATGTGCGACCCATGGCATTAGACGCAGTGTATGCCCCAAGATCCGATTTCGGGTGGCCGGCTTCGTCGGTGTTGACATCTACCGGCCCGCGGGCCAGCCGCAAACACGCCCTGCGACATGTTCGCTTGGATCCGAACTTGGCGAGACTGCGCGGGAAAGACGAAGCTGTCTCCCAAACCCGACGTCCAAAACTGCCAAGAAGTTCGGATCCAGGCGGACTTCAATTTTGCACGAATGAAAAGTTATGGCAATCCACCGGTCGCCAGGAAGTCCACAGTCAGAACCCGCACCACCCGAAAGGTGAAGCACGCCGGGGTCCGAAGTCGACGGTTTTCCGACGAACCGTGCACGGGAAGTTCGGATCTCAACGGACTTTGCATTTTATAGAATCCATAGTCCGTCGTGATCCGAAATTTACGATTGTCTGAGGAACCGTGCACGGCAGGTTCTGATCCACGGCCCAGCAGGAACATCTCCTGCCACATGCATTGCGAAAGGAAGACAACTCAAATTCGTCGGGATCCGAACTTGGCAAATTCGCCAGGATCCGAACTTGCGAAAGGAACATCTCCTTGCACATGCATTGCGAAAGGAAGACAACAGGTTCGGATCCACGGCCCAACAGGCGAACCCGACGATGGGACGAGGAACCTTTGCACGAGAAGTACGGATCCCGGCGGACTTCGCATTTTTGCGAAACAAAAGTTGTGGCAAACACCCGTTCGCGAGAAAGGACACAGTCAGTACCCATACCATGCGCGACGCGAAGTTCGCCGGGGTCCGAACTTGCCACGTGACGGGAGGGTGTTCGTCGGGATCTGAACTTCTCGAGACCACGTGGGAGAGAATCAACCGGCGGGCTACACATTTTTTCAAATACAAAGTTCTGCCAAACCCCGGGAGCTAGAAACCCACGTTCTGAACCCGCACATTGAGACAAGCGAAGTTGCTGGGTTGCGAACTTGACGTCTGTGCGAGGAACCGTGCAGTAGAAGTCCGGATCCCGGCGGACTTCGCATCATCACGGATCCGAGGCTCGCCGAGGTCCGGACTCGACGAGTGTGCAGGGAATAGTGCGAGCGAGGTTTGGATCCGCAGGCTAGCAGGAACCTGTGGTTGGCCGGGATCCGAACTTGGCGAAATTACGTGGGAGATACACACCTGTCTGCCAAACTCGCCGTCCTGCAATTTCTTGAAGTTTGGATCCCCACGGACTTCATATTTCTTGAAGTTTGGATCCCAAACTCGGCTGTGATTGCTGACCGGGGTTGCAAAGCGTGTTCGAGCAGCTGCATGAAGTTCGTCGGGATCCAGACTTGGCGAAATTGCATGGGAGACATACACCTGTCTGCCGAACTCGCCGTCCAGCAATTTCTTCAAGTTCGGATCCCAACGGACTTCCATTTTTTACACGTCCCAGGCTGTGGTTGGGGACCGGGGTTGCGAAGCGTGTTCGAACAGCTGCATGAAGTTCGTCGAGATCCGAACTTGGCGAAATTGCGTGGGAGATGCACACGTGTTTGCCAAACTCGCCGTCCAGCAATTTCTTGAAGTTCGGATCCCGGCGGACTTCTAATTTTCCACGTCCCTGGCTGTGGTTGCGCACCGGGGTTGAGAAGCGTGTTCGAACAGCTGCACAAGCTCGCCGGGATCCCAACTTCTTCCGGTGTTTGATTGGGCGATCATTTCGGTTGGAACGGCCACGTTCCAATCACGAGAACAGTGTCGGCGACGCGTGGGGTGGTGGGTGCTCAACGTTCGCCGTTCGACGACCCTACGTCCTCCAAAGTTCGACGTCCGCCGAGGTTTAACGCCCGCCGAGGTTTGATGTGGAGCCCGGTTCCGTGGGCAGCATGGTTCGATGTTATACGAGGTTTGATGTGCAACAAGATTGTGACGAAGTGCTTTTTATTCGTTCGAAGATCGGGATCGACGTTTCTCCGATCGGTTGTGCGTTTCGTTCGCCGGTTTCGATCGTGCACATGATCATTTGCCTTGAGGATTCTCCGCGATCGTTCTCCACGATCAATTAGCACAGAACAGTCGATTGGTTGATCGGCTGCTCGGTTGGCAGTTGGTGTGGTCGTTGATCAACCAGCAGAGCAATCGCCAACCGAGTTGTCGACCAATCAGTTGATCCTGGCAGATTTTCTGACCGATCGACGGTTCGGTCGAGGACTGTCAGGTGGGTAAATAAACAGGTCGCTCGCCCGCGGGTTGATCTTCGGTGCAGCACACACAATCAATCATCCGATCGCAAGTAATCTTCTGTCGTTTCGCGATTGGTCGGTTGGATGCGTTGTCGCCTCGTGCATTGGTTAATCACCGGCGCTGTTGTTGGGGAAGCAAACAACATCTATCACCCGATCGCGAGTGGTCGGCTTGCGTTCCGTGATGGGTCGGTTCATCACGTGTGTGGTGTACATATTGTCATGGATCTGATCGATCATTAGATCACGAGTGATCTGAACACACACGACAGAAAGAACAACACACACGCGGTGGTAACGTCGACACGGCAGACACGACCAATCATCCGATCGCGAGTGATCTAATCGTGTTTCGCGATTGGTCGATGGATGCGTTCGCTGTATCGACATTGCCACCTCGTGTTTCGATTGATCATCTATTGGGCAGATCGGCGGACATGACATTGGGACAGCACACAAAACCAATCGGGTATGGCAAGTGCTCACGATGACGTTGTGTTTCGTTATTGGCCGCCGCGTGTTCAATCCGAGCTTCCGTGCTTCGCCACTTGAGTACAGCACAAGCGCAATCGTTTGTTGATACTCTCCTCACACATCCTGACACATCCACACACAAGCGGAATCGAAGGGCGAACCATGACGTTCGTCCCTGACCGCGCACGTTCGCGCGCATCTCCCCGCGGAAAACGCGCGCGAACACACACGCACGCGAACACACACGCACGCGAACACATATGCACAGACAGGCACACACACGCACACACACACACACACGCGCCGACACACGGCGCCCGCACACATACGCCCCTCAAGTACAGACGCGCGCACGATCCTGCCTCGCGCGTGTGGCACACACTTCAATACAAACACAAACACAAAGGAACTTGCACTCGAACACACACACACACACAATGAAGCATGCACAAACACACAATCGCACACAAACACACACACACACACACGCCCACCCGCACACATGCAGCCACGAAATCTTTCGATCTGCGCGAGCATATCGTCACAAAAAACCTCCCCCGCACGCACGCACATGCAAACATACATCCCGACTGTGTGCGCACTCACCGTGTGGAACTGCCGAGTGAAGATGAGCGCAAACCCCGGCGTTTGTCATGACGGCACTCTGTCCACCTTTGGGCATGCACTTCGCGTTTGCTGGGGTGCTGCGTGGGGTGGCGGTCGCGCCTTCCGAGAAAGGAGATCGGGAGCGACGTCGAATATGACGTGGACAGCGACTTGGTAGGCGGAGGGACATGCGAGGGCATGTGGGGTGGGTCGGTGCCACAAAACGTGCGCGGTGAAGAATGGTTGTGCCAGCTATGGCGCGCCAGCTGTTGACGACAGTGGCGGTGCGTGGCTTCCGTCGGGCAGCATCTCCCCGGCAAAAAACGCAAAACGCATCGTCAATGCCCAGGGCGCCGCTCGTATTTGTAGGCGCGCGGGACACGAGGCCCCCTCGGGCCTTCTGTTTCGGATTTCCGTGCAGGGTTCGTGCGCCGACTCGCGGCTGTTTGATCCGCGCATCGAACGGTGGCTGCACGTCGAAATTGTCGCGAGGGGGGCCTGGTGCGTCGAAATGTGACAAAAACATCCCTACGGGCTGGCCCTTCCCGGACGTCATTGGAAAACGGGCCCTTGTTCCGGGCCCCTCGCGTTCATGTCTTCGGGTTCGCGGGCCCCGGTGGAGGGGGCAGTTTGTACTTTCCAGGGGTGAGGGGGGAGAACAGCAGGAGGGGGGAGGGGGGCGGGGGGCTGGGGGAAAGGGGAGGTTGGAGGGGTTCGCGGCAATACGCGTCTCCTGGCCGGCGAGCGGGGTCTGTGGTCGTGCGGGGGGACACAGGCGGGTCTTTCCATGGGGTGCGACAACAGTCTGACGCTCAGCTGCCTCGGGTCTGGGGCAGCCCTTTCGCATCTCGAGCCTGACGAGCGCATTCGTGCTCGACGTCCCGCCAACGACATCCTCCATCGCCTTTTCTGCTCCGCTGTTGCGCCAGGCGGCGGCGGGCGTGGGCGCAGGGGTTTCCTCTCGTCGACAACTGTCGTCTGTGGTTCGGTTGTCTTCGCTTCGACATCTCGTCTCTGCGTCCTGCGTCAGCAAGTGGCCACCGCCGTTTGCGCTGAGCCCTTGTCGAACAGTTGCGCCATCGTGTGCGCTTCGCCGTCATTGAAGAACTGCGCCTCCTCGAAGAATTGTGAGCCGTCAAAGAGCAGCGCCATCGTGTGCGATGTGCCCTCTTCAAGGTAAAGTGTTGTTCTACCTGCCCTCGTGTCAGGCATGTTTGCCGGCCCATGGGAGCGGCCGCGTCCCGCCACCTGTTTCAAGTTGCAGGGACGGAGGGAAAGGATGTCGGTGACATTGGGACACATGGTTTCTGTGTCCCCTTCTGATTCCCGCTCGTTCTTTCCTCGCGAGCGGCCTCGTGATTCTTGCTTGCCATCATCATCATCATCATCGCCCCCATCATCACCATCATCGTCGCCACCACCATCAACGTCATCATCTTCATCATCATCATCATCATCATCACCATCATTGTCATCGTGATCATCATCATCTTCATCAACATCATCATCAACCTCGTCAACGTCATCAACATCCTCATCATCATCAACATCATCATCAACATCATCAACGTCATCAACATCATCATCATCATCAGCGTCGTCGCCGTCATCAAAATCACCACCATCGTCCTCTTCGCTGTCATCGCCATCATCAACATCGTCATCATCGTCGTCATCATCGTCATCATCATCATCGTCATCATCACAATCGTCATCATCACGAACATCATCATCGACATTATCATCATCATCAACATCGTCATCATCGTCAGCGACATCGTCGCCCAGATCAACATCACCACCGTAATCGTCACTATCATCGTGTTCATCACCGTCGTCATCATTATCATCATGTCGTGCCACGTGTCGCAAGTGGTTGGGACGGCGGGAACGGATGACGTGGACATCGGGGCACACGGTTTGCGTGTCCCGTTCTGCTTCTCTCTCATTCGTTCCACGCGACCGCCCCCACGACTCTTGTTTGGCTTGGCATTGAAGAAAAACTGTCGTTGATCACAAGCTGGACATTGCAAACCACTCCCGCGCGGTCGACGCAAACACGAAATCGCCTATTCCCAGCGGAACACGAAACCCCTTCGAAACACTTCCCTCGCTCGTTTAATGTTCTCAACAAAGGAGGCGCATGGGCTGCGCGCGACCGCTGTTGGTACTAAGCGTCGCGCGTTGGCCACGGGGGGAAGGATGTCCGCTGTCCACGTGGCGTGCAGTGAGAGGCAAGGTATTCATAAACAGGAGGGGGTCGTCATTCCGTGTTCGTGTTCTCGCCGCAACACTTGAGCCTCCCTCCCCGAAGAGACTATGGCGTCAATCCCGGGAGAGTTGCTGTCGTCTCCATCCCGCGCACACAACGTGCACATGATACACCATAGAGGCCATGGATGTTGAGCGTGCGCTCCTGGCGCTGGTCGTGAGGCATGCGATATCGCATTCCGCACGACAAATGCCAGGACTGTACGCGCAACATCCGCGGGCTCCAGAACGAAGAATGCACACGTTGCATGCGCACGATGGAGAACGCCTGTACCGCTCGCTGCAATGACGATGGCGTTTCTTCGGCGTGAGCGCCGCATGTTTCGTGACGACAACCTCGACACGAAAACATGTCCTCGTTCAGTAACGAACAATCCGGCCGCCTCCGGGAAACGTCTCAGTCATCGGGGCAAGGGGGGTCGCCACCGCAAGCTCGAAACCAACAACAACCAAACGAAAAACGGCGCGTGGCGTGTGGTTGCCTGGCGAGATGGGAAGTTCGGATCCCGACGAACTACAGCAATCATGCACAGTGCTCTCGCCAAAGCAGCAATCTGTTGCATTCGCTCGGCCGCAGGGAGAGCACGCGCAGGTGCGAAAATAGCGCACGATTGTTGTAGTTCGCCGGGATCCGAAGTTCCCATTTTTTTGGCGGTTGTTGGTTTCGCGTTCGCAGTCACAATGCCATCCCGGGTTGCCCTGATGACTACGTTTTGCGGGACACAGTTCCCATCTTTCGGGCGTGGGGTCGATAGTTCATAACGCCATGCCAGTTTTCAGCGTGCGACGAACTTCCGATCCCGAAGGACTTGCAATTTGAAGCATGCGAAGTCGTGGGCTGCTCGGATGATTATTGTTGTTTCAACCGCGTCGCTGAAATAAGACGCTTACGGTTTGCATGGATCTTTTCAGAGTCCTGGTTGCATGACTGTTCTTTCGTTGGTGTTGCCGCAAAAAAAAAAAAGTCCTCCCAACGGGACCCCAGCAAAAACAAAGTGTTTAATGCTCCCGGYCGAACRCGGCAACCGATCTGAAGTTCGGATCCGGGCGGACTTCGTGGTTGGCACCCGTACGTGGTCCCATGAACCTGGCTGTGGAACCTGCCATTGCCCGACTGCGAGCTCGCCTTGTCTGCGGTACTAATCGGGGGTCCACCAGCCGTGGTCATTTTTTTTTTGTGCTTGTAGTCATTGTCATCAAGGATGGCAACATTGGCGACTCGATCGCCACAAGTGCTCGCTTTGTCGATGAGGAGAATCGGGGTCCATGGGGGTCTATTGGGGGCCGCGCTACGCCAATTTCTGACGTGGTGCACCTGCGACGACCATTTCTGTTCTGCGTGCTCTGTTGGAACAAACACTTGTGAGCAGCAGCAGGGCCTCCTTGAACATGCAGCCAAGCCTAGCGTTCCTTCTGTGCAATTCCACACCGGTCATCCAAATATCCGTCGTCCCCCGCRCAAACCGGTTCCTGGCCAGTCCAGCAAGCGCCAAGTTCGGATCCCGGCGGACTTTGAGGTCCCGCGTAAATTTAACCGCCGTTTTCGACGGCCACGACTGTCGAGTGCGTTCTGATTAGCAGAGGCCTCCGGGCACGCAAAAGTGCTCGCATGAGGCTTGGAGCTTCAAGTGTGAGTTGATTGTGCGAGGACTGTGGGTGCGAAAAATTGCTCACCTTCTAAGATGCCCTTCGAGGGGCTTGTGGGGGTTGCCGATGGTGATAGCGGCCGTGTCCCTTGTCTGTGTGTCATCGATCTTTGTTGCCCCCAGAGGGTTTTGACCGTCCCGGTGCGCGGATTCTTGTCGCACACATGGTCGTGTTTCTGCGTGGTTTCCGGTTCGCGCTTTCGCACGTCGACGTTACCGGCGCGCGAATCGGGGGTCGCCTTGTCGACTGGTCGAAACGGGGTTTGGAAGGGTTGCAGGGGGGGTCTTTCATCAGTTTCTACATTTTTCTTGTCTGCGCGGTTGGGATGTCCGATCTCGATGAACTCTCGCACTATTGGTCAGTTTGGGATCGCGCTGCACCCGATTTTGTGGTGGTGCATCCACCGCTGCCCTTTGCTCTGCGTGTCCTGACGTTCAACGATAGCTCGAGAGCGGCAGAGTCTTCCTTTTGTGCGGCCAAGCATAGCGTTCCTTGTGTGCACCCGCTGGCACTCCGTTCCACTGACACCGGCCGCGCAAAAACAGGTTCTTTGCTACTCCAGCACCGGCCAAAATCGGATCCCGGAGGACTTCGAGGCACCGCATGAATCTGACCGTTGTTTTCAACGGCTTGGACTTCTCCGTCCGTCTTCAATGCCGGCGGCATGGTATTGCGCAAAATTGCTCGCCTTGTAAGTTGCCCTGAAAGGGGTTTATTTGGGTTGACAACGGTGTCGCTGGCCGGGTCCATTTCCGGTGTGCCGTGGATCTTCGTTCATCGGCGCCCCAAAATGCGGTGCGCCCGAGCAACGCCTGCTTCTGTGCAAACGCCATCCGCCCGTTACAAATGCGGGCGAATCCACCAAGTTCGGATCCTGGCGGACTTCGAGGATCGACGCGAATCTATCCGTCCTTTGTGTGGCGCCTGGAGCTTCGAGTGTGAGTTGATTGCGACAGGACTGTGGGTGCGAGAAATTGCTCGCCCTCTGAAATGCCCTTCAAGGGGTTCATGGGGGTTGCCGAAAATAAGGGACACGGCCGTTGTCACCGCCGACAACCCACATTAACCCCTTCGAGGGGATTTATGGAGGCGAGCAATTTTTCGCGCCCACGATCTTTGTTGCCCCCCAAGGTTTTTGAATGTCGCGGTGTGCGAAGTCTTGTCGCAGAATCAGGGGTCGCCTTCTCGACTGGCCGAATCAATGTTTGGAAGGGTTGAAGGGGGGATCTTTCATCCTTTTCTGCATTTTTCTTGTCTATGCAGTGGGGATGTCCGAGTTCGATAAGCTCTTGCGCTAGTACCTGTGAATGGAAAACTGCACGAGCTCGCTTAGACGATGGTGAGAATCGAGTTTATGGGGGTCAGTTTGGGGTCGCGCTGCGCCGAATTGTGTGGTAGTACATGCACCACTACCCTTTGTTCTGCGCGTGCTATCGTTCACCGACAACAGAGCCTTCCTTTTGTTCGCCCAAACATAGCGTTCCTTGTGTGCAGCCACTGGCGTTACCTTCCACTGACACAAGCTGCGCGAAAACAGGTTCCTTGCTACTCCTACACCCGCCAAATTCGTATCCCGGCGAATTTAGACGCTCCCCGTAAATCTGACCGTTATTTTCAACAGCTTGGACTGCCCAGTCCGTCTTAAATGCCGGCGGCCTGGTAGTGAGGAAAAGTTCTCGCCTTGTCAGTAGCCCTGAAAGGGGTTTATTGGTGTTGACGACAGTGTCACTGGCCGGGTGCATTTCCGGTGTGCCATGGATCTTCGTTCATCGACTCCCCGAAATGAGGTGCGGCCGAGGATCGCCTGCTTCTGTGCAAACGCCATCCACCCGTTCCAATACCTGCAGCCTCGCGAAAACTTGTTACTCGCTGCAGGCAAATCCACCAAGTTCGGATCATGGTGGACTTTGAGGATCGGCGCAAATCTATCCGTCCTCCGCACGGCGCCTGGAGCTTCGACTCTGAGTTGATTGCGAGAGGACTGCGGGTGCGAGAAATTGTTCGCCCTCTGAAATGCCCTTGAAGGCGTTCATGGGGGTCGCTGAAAATAAGGGACACGACCGTTGTCACCGAAGGCAACCCCCATAAACCCCTTCAAGGGCATTTCAGAAGGCGAGCAATTTTTTGCACCCACGATCTTTTCTGCCCCCCCAAGGGTTTTCACCATCGCGGTGTGCGGAGTTTTGACGCAGACATGCTTGTGTTTCTGCGTGCTGTCCGGTTTGCGCTGTCGCACGTCGACGTTCCCGGCGTGCGAATCGGGGGTCGCCTTCTCGACTGGCCGAATCAATGTTTGGAAGGGTTTAAGGGGGGTTCTTTCATCCTTTTCTGCATTTTTCTTGTTTGCGCAGTGGAGATGTCCGTGTTCGATAGCTATTGCACTAGTGCCAGCGAATGGAACACCGCACGAGCTCGCTTAGACGATGGTGAGAATCGGTGTTTATAGGAGTCTGTTTGGGGTCGCGTTGCGCCGAATTGTGTGGTGGTGCATCCACCACTACCCTTTGTTTTGCGCGTGCTATCGTTCACCGACAATAGAGCCTTTCTTCTGTTCGCCCAAACATAGCGTTCCTTGTGTGCACCCACCGGCGCTACCTTCCACTGACACAAGCCGCGCGAAAACAGGTTCCTTGCTACTCCTGCACCCACCAAATTCGGATCTCTGTGAATCTGACCGTTATTTTCAACAGCTTGGACTGCCCAGTCCGTCTTCAATGTCGGCGGCCTGGTAGTGCGGAAAAGTGCTCGCCTTGTGAGTTGCCCTAAAAGGGGTTCATTGGGGTTGACGACGGTGTCACTGGCCGGGTGCATTTCCGATGTGCCGTGGATCTTCGTTCATCGCCGCCCCGAAATGCGGTGCGGCCGAGCATCGCCTGCTTCTGTGCAAACGCCATCCACCCGTTCCAATACCTGCAACAACGCAAAAACCTGTTACCCGCTGCAGGCAAATCCGCCAAGTTCGGATCCTGGCGGACTTTGAGGATCGGCGCAAATCTATCCGTCCTTCGCATGGCGCCCGGAGCTTCAAATGTGAGTTGATTGCGAGAGGACTACGGGTGCGAGAAATTGCTCGCCCTCTGAAATGCCCTTGAAGGGGTTCATGGGGGTTGCCGAAAGTAAGGGACACGACCGTTGTCACGGTTGGCAACCCCCATAAACCCCTTCAAGGGCATTTTAGAAGGCGAGCAATTTTTCACACCCACGATCTTTTCTGCCCCCCAAGGGTTTTGACCGTTGCGGTGTGCAGAGTCTTGACGCAGACATGCTTGTGTTTCTGCGTGCTGTCCGGTTCGCGCTGTCGCACGTCGACGTTTCCGGCGCGCAAATCGAGGGTCGCTATTGCACTAGTGCCAGCGAATGGAGCACCGCACGAGCTCGCTTAGACGATGGTGAGAATCGGTGTTTATAGGGGTCTGTTTGGGGTCGCGCTACGCCGAATTATGTGGTGGTGCATCCACCACTACCCTTTGTTCAGCGCATGCTATCGTTCACCGACAACAGAGTCTTCCTTCTGTTCGCCCAAACATAGCGTTCCTTGTGTGCACCCACTGGCGCTACCTTCCACTGACACAAGCCACGCGAAAACAGGTTCTTTGCTACTCCTGCACCCGCCAAATTCGGATCCCGGCGAACTTTGTGCCCTCAACGCGTAAATCTGACCGTGCTTACAGTTTACTCCACTGTTTTGCAGGGTGTGGACATGAATTCGAATGACCCGTTCGACCTGCATAAGAGAGAATAATCCATTGCGCTGACGGGAATCGCATCCGCTGCACCGACGGTTGCATGACGGCGCCGAAGAAGGCTCAGCGAACGGCCGCATGAACCGGGTTATGGAAACTGAACAAGCTATCGACACGCATTGCCAGCTACAACACCTGGAGTTGGCCCCGACAACCTCTTCGGACAGTTCGCCGTTCCAACAGTCAGCAGCGGATTTCCCAAGAAAACGAAATCTCGCTTTTCGTGAGAGCTTTGGAGGTTGCATCCAACTGATTACATAATTGGCAACAACGTCCGCGCCCGAAAAACCGTCTACCTCCCGGATAGCGTTCCAAATTCCTGGCGAGGTGCACCCCACAGCTTCGGCGCACAGCAGTTGCGTGCCAATGGGTGTTTCTTACGCATCGTCTGATGATGAGACTGAGCGGTTGGTGGCCACTGATTACTCGTCTGGACAACGGTCCTATTCCAGTGGACCTTTGCTTCGTGCTAGCTCCAGTACTACGAACTTGGTTGCCACCGACTATTCTTCGGAGGAGCTTTCCACAGCACGGGCGAGTCCAACGCATATGCGAAGTGATGATGCGATTCCAAGTCAGAGCGAGTCTGGKTCGGAATCGTCTGGSAGGGGTGATGCAGAGAGAAGGGCGATACTGCAGATTTTGCCCGCACCTCTACCAGGCGAAAGACGAAGGTATAGCATGGCTAATAGGAACGCTAGGAGCAAAGAACATTATAAAAGAGCGAGAAACATGCTGTCCGAAAGAAGACTGCTCATGGTGCGCGGCATGGCATGTTGCAAGGCTCGATGTTGTTACGACGTGTCGCCTGAGGAAGTGCGAAAGGTTAGACAAGGACTGTACAGTAAGAGTCCGGGAGAGCGAGCTGAGTGGTGGATGAAAAGTATTAAGGATCTCACAGTAAATGAGAGTGGACAGAAACGTGTCCGCCCTGTGGAGTTGGAACGTTCAATGTGCATCAGGGCGTACTGCAATGTACTCGGTGTCTCGCGTAATACATTTTACAGCTACAAAAAATGTTTCGACAATGGCTACGTGCGTTCCGAGCATGACCTGACAGAAAAATATAGGCCAACCAATAAAACGGTCGCCATGCTTGCCAGCATGAGAACGTTCATCGAGTGTCATGCGGATAGCATGCCGAATGAGGTGGCTAACCAAGGTGGGGTTTCCAGACCGAAGCTTCGACTCCAGGCTGCTTTCACGAAGAGATCAATTTATGAGTCCATCAAATCCGACTTTCTGGCCGCTGGCCTCGATGTCGTGTCTGAGTCCAACTTTTATAAGTTGTGGCGGAAACATTTTTTCCACGTTTCCCTCGCGCAATCTAACACGTTCACGAAGTGCGTCGTCTGTCGTGAAGTGAAGGAACGTATACAATATGCTGCTCTTCCTCGAGATTGAGAACGTGCTCGATAGGATATAAAAGCACACCAAAGGAGGCA